CTTGACACTACACTGATCGATGACGTGCGTCGTGGTGAAGTGGTTTGGTGAGGTGGCTCCGTCTCCGCGAGTCCCGGCAGGCCCTGCCGGGGCGTCTTGGAGTTTTTCTTCCAGGGGGACCCCATCCTCGTCAGGCTCGCCTGCCCGGCAAGGGAGGCTTTTTTCCTACTGGTTTTCTTACTTCTCTGGCTTGGTCTTGGTCCTCTTGATCTACACGTTGGTCCTTTGAAGATCTTGGTCTCTTGCACTTTGGCCTATAATCTTGCTCCCATGCCTGTGCACAATCTGGGCAACTGACCCAGGGTTTGTTGTACCAACAGTTATCAAATGACAACACGTGTCTATTAGTTAGGAAACCTTAACCATCTTTGATCAACCAGCTAGTCTAGTAAAGGCTTACTAGGGACACAGTGTTTGTTTATGTATTCACACATGTATTTAGGTTTCCGATCAATACAATTATAGCATGAATAATAAACCTTTATCATGAATAAGGAAATATAAAATAGCAACTTTATTATTGCCTCTAGGGCATATTTCCTTCAAGACCACTCCAGGTCGATGCCTCCAAGAAGGACTACGGCACTGAAGCGCCGCCATCGTCTGTTCCAGGAACCTGGAACAAGGGTTTCCCCTGAAGTGCAAGAGAGGAGGGTGTAGGCCCTCGGACGACGACACCTCCAAGAAGGTCTGCGACACCCACATGCATCATCGTCGTGAACTCCGACCAAAGCCAGAGCAAGGCTTTCGCTTCGAGCGGCCAAAGAAGCCATCCCCTCAAACTGGCACATGAGAGCCACCGCCCGCCTTAGCCACCACCCACCACTAGAGCCCAAAGCCACCGGTCAGAACAACCTTGCCGCCGCCACCTGCACCATGTAGAGCCGCCGACCAGGCCACCCCATCACCACCGCAGGAGCAGAAACCGGCCAAGTCTTGTCAGATCCATCGCCCCATGCAACAACTACAACCAACCCATCGGCCAGCACCAAGCGTCTGTGACGCGACTGAGGGACGACACATTGCTACAGAGGACCAACGCCCCAAGCTCCGGCCGTGGCGCTGCCCACATAGCCATCGCGGTCGCCGTTGCTATGAAAGAGGTACGGGGTCGCCGCCCCGGCGTCCGAGCACCACAACCCTGCCAACACGCGCTCCAGATCCATGCCCCGCACCACAGCTCGTGGCCGAAGCCAGCATCAGCGCCCCGCCATGGCAGCACTGCTGCAGACCTCCACCTGCCGGAACATGCGTTCGCCAGGTAGCAGACCTGCTCCGGCCAGCCTGCCGCGCACCTCACCCATCACCCGAGCCACATCTGCGGCGCCCGCGCAACCGTGCCGTGAGAGGCTGACACGAACCTTCCGTCGCACTGTCCCTCCTCTACCCGTAGACCACCAGATCTATGCCATCCTCGCCAGAGCCACGCCCACGCGCCCGCCTGAATTCGCGCGCCACCGCGCCATATCTGTTCGCGCACCTCACAGAGCGATGCCCTGCCACCACCCTCCTTGGAGCATGGCCGGGCTTTGACGACAGGCTCCTTAGGCGGCGGTGAGGTGAGGGTGAGGGGTGGGGAAGTTGCGGCGCCGAAGGGGGTCCCCCCGAGTCGCCAGAGAGAGGTGACGCGGGGGTCGGTCAGGAAGAATCCCTAGATCCTGGCAGGGCGTTGTGAGGCTGAAGAATGGAAGCAATGGCTTAGGTCTTTATGACTTGCTATTTGTTGAGGTGATTCTTTGCGTTGTGTATTAGTGTTGAATGTGTGCATCTTAAATATATAGAGGCAAGTTATATACTCATTATAATTATATCTCTCAATGCCTACATGTTTAAGTAAATAAAATACACTATTCATCGAAAATGCTCCTCCCTAGCCGTCCCTCCTCCTCCTCCCTCCTCCTTCCTAGCCTCCCCTCCTCCTCTTCCCTTCCTCGCCGCCACCTGAGGCAGCCTCCAGGCAAGCCCGGGGCGCCAAGGATGGTGGCGGCGGGGCCTCAGTTGCCCTGCCTCCGCGTGGGGAACCCCGGATCTGGAGTGGCAGCTCCATTGGCAAGGCACGGCCGGCTAGCAGCCATGCAGGCGGTGGATCTGGTGTCCCGGCCGCGCGGGTGGCGGAATCCGGTGGTCGTTGGCGGCCGGCGGCGGTTCCTACGGTGGCCGGTGCACGTGATCTGGCGCCTCCCCTCCTCCCCTGTTCGGCGTGCGGGTCAGCCTCGTCAGGTCGCGCTTCCTTGGGTCGCCGGTTCTGTACAGGAGGCGCTGGTGGTGACGAGGATCTAGTTCAGGCGAAATCCCTGGTCAGCCATGGCCGCGTCGACGGCGACGCCTGAGGGCGTCATTCCCCTCCTTGAAGGCGTCGGTATGGACTGATCCCCTCACTTTCCCTTCCCCTAGGTCTCCCGGGCAAAAGCCCTAACTTTGTTGGGCGGCGATGGCGCTCACGGCGTCGTTCCCTTTTTGAAGGCGCTGCTTTGGGAACCTTGGGGCTGGGTGGCGCTTGTGGATGGTGGGTGACGGCGGTGGTGCGGCCCTATCCTAGCATGGATATGCGTCCGTTGCTGGAAGATGGACTCGCGTAGGTGGAGATCGTCGTTTGGCGTCATGGTGGCGTCAATGGCGAAGGCACCTGCCAAAGTTGGCACCTCAATCTGCTCTGAAGATGGACCAGTGAAAGATGGCGGCGACGACACATGTGAGTGCGTCGGGCCGGTTTGTGCCCCGGACCCGGTATGTGGCTCGGTCGGGGCCTCCGGCTTTAGATGTTAGGCTTAGGTGAGAGGTCTGGGTATTTGGTCCAGCTTACACCTCTTCATCATATGGATTGGAGTAACGACAGATGTTACCAAGATTGCGGATGCAGGCATACTGTTGTACTATTTTGTAAGGTCCTTAAGAATAATCAATGAAATGACCACATGCATCTTCCAGATGCAGAGGCCGGGGTCATCCTCTTTTTCTAAAAAAACTATTCGTCGAATATCAGTCTAAGGCCAACTCCACCGCGCGACCCTATCCTGTTCGGCCCCGTCCGTTTGGGGTAAAAGGGACAAAAAAGGCGGCCCAGCGCGCTGGAGCAAACGGACTTTTGTCCGCTTTGTGTCCGCTTTCGACCCATTCCCGGCCCAAACTTGCGCCGCTTTTGGGATGAAACGGACACCACGCGAACACGCGGGTCATCTGCGCGTGTCCTCCCTTGGCCCGCCCGTCGGTGGCACAAGACGGACCTTTTTCTATCCGCCCCCTCCCTCCCTCCGGCCGCACCCCCTCCACTCTTCCCCACTCTTCCCGTTGCTGCCGCCGCCGCTGCCATTGCAGCCGCGCAGTTCGGACGCGAGCTCGCCCAACCCCTTCCCCTCGGCGCCGGGCTCGGACGCGACCACGGCCACCTGGTTTGCGCACCCGCTGGCCGGTTTTGGGGCGGATCCGGTCGGTCTTGAGCTCGGCCGGCTGTGGGAGGACGGGCCGCGCCATGGACTGGCCGGGCACCTCGCCGGAAGGCCCTGGCAGGGCCGCAAAGCCACATGCAGGCAGTGACTCCTCCTCTAGCTGCTCGGATCTGCACCGTTGGTGGTCCGCCGGCAGATACACGAATGGCGGTCGGCCGGGCTCGGTGCTTGCCCAAAAGCTCGCCGGCGCACCGTTGCCACTCATTAAGTGCGACCACTGCCCAAGGATGGTCGTGCGCCGCGTGTCTACAACGCTGGAACATCCCGGATGGGTGTTCATCAAGTGCTTAAACGATGGGGTATGCGCTTTCTTTAGCTTCGGATTGTGCTCTAGATTTAACTAGTTATGCTAACTTCAAATTTTGTTGTGTAGAATGGATGCGAGTTTTGGTATTGGGAAGAAGAGTACATCGATATATTGATAGAGCGAAATTTAGTACATGTTCGTGCACTTTTAGCTAGCATAAAGGCTGTAAATGAGACAAGTGCACTTGTTGCTAGATTAGAGCCTAGACACGAGACTAGGTGTGAGGAGGAATCAACATCGACTTCTGGCTTGAAGAAGAAAGGAGGATGCCAGATCGAGCCTCCTCCTCCACAGATAAACAACGAGTGCATCGAGAAGGCCCTAACCCAACTCAAGGGAGCAGTTATGGAAGTTGGATATCTTCTAAAATATATTCTTGTGGTTCTTGTTTTTTTTGGTCTTACTTTACTAGTCAAAATGTGATAATGTATTTTTCATGTACCAAAAATGAATGATGAAATAAAATTAAAGACTTGCAAAGAAATAATACGCGGACAGGATGCGGCCGGGATGCGGCCGCGCGCTGGGCGCACTGCCACCACATCCCAGGACAGGCCCGGACACGACCCCAAATCCCTACCCAAAGGAACAAAAACCGGACAAAACGGACGTCCGTTTGGGATCGCGTGATGGAGTTGGCCTAACAACCTCCGGCCATTCCAGGCCAGACACCCAGGCCTTTCCAGGACAGCAACCAAACGGCTTCCAAGAAATTCCCAGCTCCGCTCAAGTCCGGGCAGAAAAGGCACCGGCACACGAACAAAACGGTCCTCGCTCGTTGTGTTTTTTTACCCCGAGAGGCATAGCACTTTGCCAATATCGGCATGGCATTCGGCCGGGATCACGAATCGACCGGGGAGAATTTTCTGGGCCCATCTCATAAAAGCCTGTGGGAAGTGACAGAGCGCCCAGAAGTTACCACCACGCCCCACAGAAAGCCATGTGGATGTGCAGCAGCGCAAGGCAGAGATCCTTTGCGGCTGAGAGGAAGCGGCATCGTGTGCAAGAGGTCAGGCCGAAGGCTGGCACACATTCCCCTCTCCCTTTCTGCTTTCCTCCTCCTCTGCAGTGAAAAGGAAACCAGAGAACGATGCCCTCCTAGAACACACTCCAAGGATCCCCACCGAGATGTATATAGCCTCGTGGTACCAATCCATTGGTTGCGACAGGAATTCCGCCGGCGGATAATCAGTTAGCATCGTCCCTGTCCTGCTCTGCTCTGCTGGTCTAGCTAGCTAGCCCGGTCCATGCAAATGCCGTTCTGCCCCAAGCTGTGGGATCGGAGCCCGGTCCCGCCGGCCAACGCCATCGCCGTCAATGGCACGGTGGTCGTCGCCAACACCTTCGGCCTCTCCGCGCCCGGCAAGTCCACCACCCTGCGCCTCTTCAGCGGCACCCAAATCGACCACGGTGAGTGCACTGTATGTGAGTTGTTCGTGTGTTTGACTGTGACTGATGCCGAGCGCGTGCAGAGACGGGGAAGGGGATGCTGAGCCCGGAGGCCCCGCTGAGGGGCGGCAAGAAGAGCAAGCACGGGAAGACGAGCACGACGACGTACCATGTGACGTTCGTGGTGGACGCCGACTTCGGCACGCCGGGGGCCGTGTCCGTCCGGAACGGGAACCGCGCCGACCGCTTCTTCCTCCGCCACGTGCGGCTGGAGCTCGCCGAGGACCGGAGCATCCACTTCGAGTGCAACTCCTGGGTGTACCCATACAAGAAGACCGCCTCCGACCGCCTCTTCTTCGTCAACACGGTCAGAGCAGAGGCCATTCGTTTGTGTTTGTTCCATATCCAGTCCTGGCATCCTGGGTGAACTCGTGCATGAAGCTTTCTTTCTTTCTTTCTTTCTTTCGTGGTGACCATTGCCAGAGCTACCTGCCTTCCAAGACGCCGGAGGCGCTGGTGCTGCTGCGTGACGAGGAGCTGAGGAGCCTGCGAGGGGACGGCAAGGGAGAGCGCAAGGACTGGGAGCGCATCTACGACTACGACCGCTACAACGACCTCGGCAACCCCGACAACCCGGAGCACGTCCGCCCGGTCGTCGGCGGCACCAGGACGCACCCCTACCCGCGCCGCTGCCGGACAGGCCGTGCCATCAGCAACACCGGTACCACACTGGCTGCCATTTCCAGCCGATTTCATTCATCCTGAATAAAGAACCTCGCATCTCATGGCCGGTTGTTCTAATAATTTGATTAACGATCGATTGATTCGAAGACGGCGTGACGGAGACGCGCAAGCACGTGATCAACCTGGACTTCTACATCCCGCCGGACGAGCGGTTCAGCCCGGGGAAGCTGGCGGAGGTGCTGAAGCTGGGGGTGCAGGCGGTGACGCACTTCGTGATCCCGGAGGCGAGGACGCTGGTCCACGGCAACGACTTCAAGTCCATGGAGCAGCTGAGGAAGGACCTGTACAGCAGGCCCGTGCAGCCGGCGGTGGACGGCGAGGTCATGGAGAAGCTCAAGTCCTCCGTGCCGTCCCACAAGACCTACAAGCAGGTGGCCAAGGCCGTCAAGGAGGAGCACCCCGCCAGGTTCCCCATCCCGCAAGTCATCCAGCGTGAGTTTATTTCCCTCTCTGTTCTCCCGCCCAATTCATCATGCGTCAAGTTTCATCTTGGGATGATGATCGATCGATCCATGGTGCACGCAGAGGATCCTGAGGCGTGGAGGAGCGACGAGGAGTTCGCAAGGGAAATGCTCGCCGGGCTCAACCCTGTCGCCATCAAGAGATTACAAGTGAGCAGTAGTTCATCTCATCGTCCTGAATTTTCTTGACTGAAAACTTGTACCGCTACCGCATTGAGTGGCTTTCAAATGTTCCATTCTCAGACGTTTCCGCCGGTGAGCAGTGGCGGGAAGAAGAGCTCGATAACCGCCGAGCACATCAAGAGCCAGCTTGGAGATGTCACCATTGAAATGGTTAGCAAAACTGCTCCCTGTTTCTCTGCTTGGTATGTATGATGATGATACAAACACAGTATCCCTGTAAAAATGCAGGCAATGCATCAGAAGAGGCTGTACATCCTGGACCACCATGACTACCTGATGCCGTACCTGAGGCGCATAAACACGCTGGGCGTGTGCATCTACGCGTCGCGCACGCTGCTGTTCCTCAAGGCCGACGGGACCCTCAAGCCGGTCGTCATCGAGCTGAGCCTGCCCAGCGACGGCGAGGGCGACACCGAGCTGAGCCGGGTCTTCCTCCCCGCGACCCACGGCACCGAGGGCCACCTGTGGCAGCTCGCCAAGGCCCACGTCTCCGTCAACGACTCGGGGTACCATCAGCTCATCAGCCACTGGTGAGGACGAAAAGTTCCATTCTACTCCTAGTCATCATCTGCACAGAAGTCGACAAGCTGAGTCACTGACACGGGCGGCCAAATGAAGGCTGTTCACGCACGCGGCGGTGGAGCCGTTCATCATCGCGACCAGGAGGCAGCTGAGCGCCATGCACCCCATCCACAAGCTCCTGGAGCCGCACTTCAAGGACACCATGCAGATCAACACGCTGGCCAGGAGCATACTGCTCAACGCCGGCGGCATCCTGGAGCGGACCATGTACCCGGGGAAGTACGCCGTGGAGATGTCCTCCGCCATCTACGGCGACTGGAGGTTCACCGAGCAGTCCCTGCCAAACGACCTCCTCAAGCGGTACTCAAACCATTTCCTTGCTCCCATTTCTTTTTGAAAAGTTTAGGAGAACAAATGGCAATCTACCGAGCTGTAATGTAATTGTTATTCTTGTATCTGAAGGGGGGTGGCCTCCAGCTCCGATGAGCCCGGCGGCCTGACCCTGCACATCGAGGACTACCCGTACGCCGTCGACGGGCTCGAGGTGTGGCACGCCATCGACGGGTGGGTGCGCAGCTACTGCGCCCACTTCTACCACAGCGACAAGGAGGTGGACGGCGACGCGGAGCTGCAGGCGTGGTGGCACGACGTGCGCACCGTCGGCCACGGCGACCGGCAGGGCGACCAGGCGTGCTGGCTGGCGCTGGACACCGTCGACCACCTCGCCCAGACGCTGTCGACGCTCGTCTGGATCGCCTCCGCGCTGCACGCGGCCGTCAACTTCGGGCAGTACGCCTACGCGGGGTTCCCCCCGAACCGGCCCACGCGGTGCCGCCGGTTCGTGCCGCTGCCGGGGTCGCCGGAGATGACGCAGCTGGAGGCCGACCCGGAGAAGTTCTTCCTGGAGATGGTGCCCGACAGGTTCACCGCCACGCTGGGGCTGGCGCTCATCGAGGTGCTGTCCAACCACACCTCCGACGAAGTCTACCTCGGGCAGCGCGCCACGTCCACGTGGACGGACGACGGCCAGCTGCTGCACCTGCTGGACGGGTTCCGGGAGGACCTCCGGCGGGTGGAGAGGCGGGTGGAGGAGAGGAACAAGGACCCGCGGCTCAAGAACCGGAGGGGGCCGGTCAAGGTGCCGTACACGCTCTTGTTCCCGGACGTGGCCGGCCAGGAGAAGGGGCTCACGGGGAAAGGGATACCCAACAGCGTCTCCATATGATCAATCCACGTCTATATGACTATGTAAATTTATCTTCATTTGGGTTTTGGGTGTTCTTTTATAGTTGGGGGTGATGCGGATTTCTTTGTTGGTTTGAGTTTTAGTGTTTGTTGTGTAAAATGGTGATCGGCTTGAGATTCAAAAAATTGAAATGGAGCTTGCTGTTTGGAAACAGACCTCACAAGGGTCATTTCCCTTGTCAAAGATAAAACTGTTGGACCCCTATTGCCTTCGCACATCATGTATATTTTTTTTCAATAAAGACACTTTTATTAACTTAAAATGTGACATCAAGCGAATAAAAACATATACTGAATAACACCCCGTCTCTGCATACATAAAGGGGTTATTTGGATAGTGTCTTCGGCTTTGTGCCTGCAAGAAGTTCGTGCCTTGGTTTTGCCTGGTATATTGGTGTTTATGTGCCCGGTCAGGCTAGCCTGGACCATATTTCTTCAGGGTAGCAAGCAAACACACTCCAGGCATTTCCCAGGGATGCTCCAGGCCAGGCAATTTCTAACCAGGACATGATCCGAACACCCTTAAAATGCACATAGCCAATACCACATGTCACGACCTGTGGCTGGTGGTGCTACCACGCGCGCCTCGTAGCTCTACCCCATACTATCAACCTCCTTCATGTCCATGTCCTTCATTGGCGACGCCACGGCCCGTCTCCTGCCAGGTCCTACCTCACTCTCACTGACACGTCTCTCGAATTTGACTGTTGCAAGGCAAATGCACAAAGCAAATGTGAACTGAAATTCTAGAGGACTGAACGTTCTCCCTATCATAACGTGGTATGCTACTTTCTCCACCTTGGTTTATACTACCTCGTATTTTGTGTCAAATTTTAACCATAGACAACGTGTTTGTTTCACGGGAGTTTGTATTGGGGAATGGGAGTTCGTGCGGTGCAGGACTTAAAATCCCTTGTATGGTTGGAGGACATGGGAATTAAAGAAGGTAGGGGAAAGGGAATTAAGGGGTCCAACTCCCCCGAATCACTTCCGTGATGGGGGGCTAGTAATTGAGTTGGGGAATGGGAAGTGTGAAAATTGTTTGTTGTCCACGCCCCGCCAGCAAAAGAAACTTTAATTCCCTCTTAAATTCCCACAAACTTGTTGGGTAACGCAGTAATTTTAAAAAATTTCTTACGCACACGCAAGATCATGGTGATGCATAGCAACGAGAGGGGAGAGTGTTGTCTACGTACCCACGCAGACCGACTGCGGAAGTAGTCGTATGTCTTCCCGATCCGACCGATCCAAGCACCGTTACTCCGGTACCTCCGAGTTCTTAGCACACGTACAGCTCGATGACGATCCCCGGGCTCCGATCCAGCAAAGCGTCGGGGAGGAGTTTCGTCAGCACGACGGCGTGGTGACGATCTTGATGTTCTACCGTCGCAGGGCTTCGCCTCAGCTCTGCTACAATATAATCGAGGTGGAATATGGTGGCAGGGGGCACCGCACACGGCTAAGGAACGATCTCAGTGATCAACTTGTGTGTCTAGAGGTGCCCCCTGCCTCCGTATATAAAGGAGCCAAGGGGGAGGGGGCCGCCGGCCAGGAGGAGGGCGCAGGAGGAGTCCTACTCCTACCGGGAGTAGGACTCCCCCCCCCCAATCCTAGTTGGACTAGGATTCCCCGAGGGGGAAAGAGAGAGGGGGGGCCGGCCACCTCTCCTAGTCCTAATAGGACTAGGGGAGGGGGGAGGCGCGCGGCCACCTTGGGCTGCCCCTTTCTCCTTTCCGCTAAAGCCCATAAAGGCCCATATGGCTCCCGGGGGGTTCCGGTAACCTCCCGGTACTCCGGTAAAATCCCGATTTCACCCGGAACACTTCCAATGTCCAAATATAGGCTTCCAATATATCAATCTTTATGTCTCGACCATTTTGAGACTCCTCGTCATGTCCGTGATCACATCCGGGACTCCGAACTAACTTCGGTACATCAAAATGCATAAACTCATAATAACTGTCATCGTAACGTTAAGCGTGCGGACCCTACGGTTCGAGAATAATGTAGACATGACTGAGACACATCTCCGGTCAATAACCAATAGCGGGACCTGGATGCCCATATTGGCTCCTACATATTCAACGAAGATCTTTATCGGTCAGACCGCATAACAACATACGTTGTTCCCTTTGTCATCGGTATGTCACTTGCCCGAGATTCGATCGTCGGTATCCAATACCTAGTTCAATCTCGTTACCGGCAAGTCTCTTTACTCATTCCGTAATACATCATCTCGCAACTAACTCATTAGTTGCAATGCTTGCAAGGCTTATGTGATGTGCATTACCGAGAGGGCCCAGAGATACCTCTCCGACAATCAGAGTGACAAATCCTAATCTCGAAATACACCAACCCAACATCTACCCTTGGAGACACCTGTAGAGCTCCTTTATGATCACCCAGTAACATTGTGACGTTTGGTAGCACACAAAGTGTTCCTCCGGTAAACGGGAGTTGCATAATCTCATAGTCATAGGAACATGTATAAGTCATGAAGAGAGCAATAGCAACATACTAAATGATCGGGTGCTAAGCTGATGGAATGGGTCATGTCAATCACATCATTCTCCTAATGATGTGATCCCGTTAATAAAATAACAACTCCTTGTCCATGGTTAGGAAACATAACCGTCTTTGATTAACGAGCTAGTCAAGTAGAGGCATACTAGTGATACTCTGTTTGTCTATGTATTCACACATGTATTATGTTTCCGGTTAATACAATTCTAGCATGAATAATAAAAATTTATCATGAAATAAGGAAATAAATAATAACTTTATTATTGCCTCTAGGGCATATTTCCTTCAGTCTCCCACTTGCACTAGAGTCAATAATCTAGATCACATCACCATGTGATTAACATCGATAGTTCACATCATCATGTGATTAACACCCATAGTTCACATCGCCATGTGACCAACACCCAAAGGGTTTACTAGAGTCAGTAATCTAGTTCACATCGCTATGTGATTAACACCCAAAGAGTACTAAGGTGTGATCATGTTTTGCTTGTGAGATAATTTTAGTCAACGGGTCTGTCACATTCAGATCCGTAAGTATTTTGCGAATTTCTATGTCAACAATGCTCTGCACGGAGCTACTCTAGCTTATTACTCCCACTTTCAATATGTATCTAGATCGAGACTTAGAGTCATCCAGATTTGTGTCAAAACTTGCATCGACGTAACTTTTTACGACGAACCTTTTTGTCACCTCCATAATTGAGAAATATTTCCTTATTCCACTAAGGATAATTTTGACCGCTGTCCAGTGATCTACTCTTAGATCACTATTGTACTCCCTTGCTTAACACAGTGTAGGGTATACAATAGATCTGGTACACAGCATGGCATACTTTATAGAACCTATGGCTGAGGCATAGGGAATGACTTTCATTCTATTTCTATCTTCTGTCGTGGTCGGGCTTTGAGTCTTACTCAATTTCACACCTTGCAACACAGGCAAGAACTCTTTCTTTGACTATTTCATTTTGAACTACTTCAAAATCTTGTCAAGGTATGTACTCATTGAAAAACTTATCAAGCGTCTTGATCTATCTCTATAGATCTTGATGCTCAATATGTAAGCAGCTTTACCGAGGTCTTTCTTTGAACAAACTCCTTTCAAATATTCCTTTATGCTTTCCAGAAAATTATACATTATTTCCGATCAACAATATGTTGTTCACATATACTTATCAGAAATGTTGTAGTGCTCCCACTCACTTTCTTGTAAATACAGGCTTCATCGTAAGTCTGTATAAAACTATATGCTTTGATCAACTTATCAAAGCGCATATTCCAACTCCGAGATGCTTGCACCAGTCCATAGATGGATCGCTGGAGCTTGCATATTTAGTTAACACCTTTAGGATCGACAAAACCTTCTAGCTGCATCGTATACAACTCTTCTTTAGTAAATCCATTAAGGAATGAAGTTTTATTTATCCATTTGCCAGATTTCATAAAATGCGGCAATTGCTAACATGATTCGGACAGACTTAAGCATAGATACGAGTGAGAAAATCTCATCGTAGTCAACACCTTGAACTTGTCGAAAACCTTTTGCGACAATTCTAGCTTTGTAGATAGTAACACTACTATCAGCGTCCGTCTTCCTCTTGAAGATCCATTTATTTTCTATGGCTTGCCGATCATCAGGCAAGTCAACCAAAGTCCATACTTTGTTCTCATACATGGATCATATCTCAGATTTCATGGCCTCAAACCATTTCGCGGAATCTGGGCTCATCATCGCTTCCTCATAGTTCGCAAGTTCGTCATGGTCTAGTAACATGACTTCCAGAATAGGATTACCATACCACTCTGGTGCGGATCTCACTCTGGTTTACCTACGAGATTTGGTAGTAACTTGATCTGAAGTTACATGATCATCATCATTAGCTTCCTCACTAATTTGTGTAGTAGTCATAGGAACAGATTTCTGTGATGAACTACTTTCCAATAAGGGAGTAGGTACAGTTACCTCATCAAGTTCTACTTTCCTCCCACTCACTTCTTTCGAGAGAAACTCCTTCTCTAGAAAAACTCCGAATTTAGCAACAAAAGTCTTGCCTTCGGATTTGTGATAGAAGGTGTACCCAACAGTCTCCTTTGGGTATCCTATGAAGACATATTTCTCCGATTTGGGTTTGAGCTTATTAGGATGAAACTTTTTCATATAAGCATCACAACCCCAAACTTTAAGAAACAACAACTTTGGTTTCTTGCCAAACCACAGTTCAGATTGTTGTCGTCTCAACGGACTTAGATTGTGCCCTATTTAACGTGAATGCAGCTGTCTCTAATGCATAACCCCAAAACGATAGTGGTAGATCGGTAAGAGACATCATAGATCGCACTATATCTAATAAAGTACGGTTATGATGTTCGGACACACCATTACACTATGGTGTTCCAGGTGGCGTGAGTAGTGAAACTATTTCACATTGTTTTAATTGAAGACCAAACTCGTAA